TTTTTTTTTTTTTTTTATTCTTGGTCTCCCTCTGTCACCTAGGCTGGAGTGCAGTGGCATGGTCCTGGCTCACTGCAGCCTCGACCTCCTGGACTCGGACAATCCTTCCACCTCAGCCTTCCAAGTAGCCTGAACTGCAGGTGTGCACCATCACTCTTGGCTAATTTATTTATTTATTTATTTATTTTGTAGAGTTGAGGTTTCACTATGGTTGTCCAGGCTGGGCTTGAACTCCTGGGCTCAGGCAATCCTGCCGTAGCTTTCCAAAGTGCTGGGATTATAGGTATGAGCCACCGAACCTGGCCTCATTTTTATTTCGTTTTTATTTTTATTTTTATTTTTATTTTTGAGTTGGAGTCTCACTCTGTCGCCCAGACTGGAGAGCAGTGGCCGCTCCCGGCCCCTGCAGCCTCAACCTACTGGGCACCGGCGATCCTTCCGCCTCAGCCTTCCGAGTAGCCAGAATTACAGGCATGTGCTACCATGCCCGGCTAATTTTTTTTTATTTATTGTAGAGATGAGGTCTCGCCAAGTTGCCCAGGCAGGTTTCGAACCCGCGGGCTCAGGCAATCCACTCACCTCAGCCTCCCAAAGTGCTGGGATTACAGGCTGAGCCACCGAGCCTGTCTCGTTTTTATTTTTAATTTGAATCCTGGCTCTACTTCCTAGGTGGGTATTAGGAATCCTTCATTTTTCCCTCTCATTTGTGTTATAACAATCAGCATTCCTCCTAGTGATACGATCCTGACATATTATACATTTACTCACTTCTTGGGCATCTATCCCCCACTAGAATGTGAGCTCCATGAAGATCAGGGCCCTGCTGTCTTGTTCATTGTAGACTCCTCAGCACCAAGAAAGTTCTTGGAACACAGTAGATGCTCAGTAAAGATTTGCTGAGTAAAGGAACAAATGAGACTGTGGTGTCTGCAGCATGATGTATTCACAAGCTTCTAGCAGGGTAGCTGGACGCTATTGCCCGTCCTCGAGGCATGTTGCCCCACACAGGCTGGGGTAAGCTGTGTGCCAACATCCTCATGGGCAGCACTCATGGTGCAACAGAAAGTTGGCTTGTGGCAGTTTATCATTATGCCTTCTCACTAGTCTTTGTCCTTCCAGAATCTCCAACTCATTTTGTGCACGGCGGCCAGAAGGATACATCTTCCTAACCCACACATAGGATCCTGCCCCTCCCCTGGTCAGGAACTGCTCATGACTCCCCATTGTTCTCTCACAGAAGTCTAAGCTCCTTGGCTTGGCCTTCGAGGTCCTCGCCAACCTCTTTAACTGTGTCTCCCACCTTGCTGGCCTCTGAACCTCCGCACATGTGGCTCCTGTTCTCTGCTTGGCCTCTTTTTCCTCCTGGTCTGCTTGGTGAGTTCCTGCCTGTCTTCTGATGCTTATCAGGAGTCACTTTCTCTAGGAAATCACAGAAATAATTTGAGCCCTTTTTAAGGCTGTGATCCTTCTTATTTCTTTATTTATGGAGACAGTATCTCACTCTGTTGCCCAGGCTGGAGTGCAGTGACATGATCATGGCTCACTGTAACTTCAACCTTCTTAGGTTCAAGCCATCCTTCCACCTCAGTCTCTTGAGTAGCTAGGACTACAGATGCCAGACACCATGTCTGTTATCTTTTATTTATTTATTTATTTTTTGAGTTGGAGTCTCACTCTGTCGCCCAGACTGGAGTGCAGTGGCTGTTTGTGGCCACCGCAGCCTCGACCTGCTGGGTTCCGGCGATCCTTCCGCCTCAGCCTTCCAAGTAGCTGGAACTACAGGCGGGCGCTACCACGCCCGGCTGATTTTTTATTTAATGTAGAGATGAGGTCTCGCCAAGTTGCCCAGGTGGGTCTCAAACCCGCGGGCTCAGGCAATCCACTCACCTCAGCCTCCCAAAGGCGCGGGATTACAGGCTGAGCCACCGAGCCCAGCTCATGTCTGCTATTTTTAATATTTCTTGTAGAGACAGGATCTTGCTATGTTGCTTAGGCTGTTCTCAAACTCCTGGCCTCAAGCAATCCTCCTATCTCGGCTTCCCAAAGGGCTTAGATTATAGGTTTGAGCCACTTCACCTAGCCCTTTATTTTTATTTTTATTTTTGAGACAGGGTCTTGCTCATTTGTCCAGGCTGAGGTGCAGTGATACGGTCATAATTACTGCAGCCTTGAATTCCTGGGCTCAAGGGATCCTTCTGTCTTAGCCTCCTGAGTAACTGGGATTACAGGTGGGTGTCACCAGTACCAGCCAAGTTTTTTTTTAATTTTTATTTTGTAGAGTTTGGGATCTGCTATGTTGCCCAGGCTGGTCTTGAACCCCTGGCCTCAAGTGATCCTCTTGTCTGTCTGGCTTCCTAAAGCACTAGAATTACAGGCATGAGCCACTGTGCCTTACTGATATGCATTATTTCTTTTCTTTTCTTTTCTTTTAGTTGTAGTCTCACTCTGTCGCCCAGGCTGGAGTGCAGTGGCACGCTCACTGCCACCACAGCCTCAGCCAGCTGGGTTCAGGTGATTCTTCCACCTCAGTCTTCCAAGTAGCTGGGACCTATAGGCACGCATCACCATGCCTGGCTAAATTTTTGATTTATTGTAGAGATGAGGTCGCGCCAAGTTGCCCAGGCTCATCTTGAACCCGCAGGCTCAGGCATTCTTCTCACCTCGGCCTCCCAAAGTGCTGGGATTATAGGCCTGAGCCCCACGCCTGGCTACATGCATTATTTCTAAGCTTTACAATAATCCTTTTGATGTAGGGAATAGTAGCCCCATTTTACCAATGAGAGGACAGGCTCAGAGAAGTGGAAAGATTTGTTCAGGGTCA